TTCTCGTTTGGTGCGGTAGCTGGTCTTTCTTTCTATCATTTTGTTTCTCTTCCGAGTGGTTTTTGTACCCTATTTTTTTCTGTTTTTTCGTGGGGTCGTGTATGCCGGGTTTTGAGACCACGGGCTCCAAATCTTTTTCTTTAGAGCTAATGTGAGAAACAACAACAACAACAACATGTGAGATGGCAGTGGTGACCTCCGTGTGATGGTTTAGGCCTCAACTACATTAATCTACCTACGCCTGCTCCTCTGTTTCCAGCCCTTCGAAGATGACAAAGTAAAAGACAATCCAGACATCCACATAATGTTTTGTTCGTGTGCATGAACCATGTTTTCGAAGAGACAACCTCTTCGCATCGGATGAGTGCGAGAAAATTGACTATTCGAACGCCGGTGATACTGGTAATAGCCTGCTTGCCTTCTCAAGAATTCCGGAAATCACCTTGAGGGAATCCACAGTGACGTTTGCGTAGGCCTTGGTGACCTCTTGGTGCTCGAGGTAGGTGAGCAACCAGTCGACAGGCTCGTGTTGCGGACACAAAGCGACCGCGAACACCAACACGATCGGCGACTGCTGGGTTGTGCTGATGTCAATGATGTTAAGGCTCCTTTTGACCTTGTTGACCAGTGCGGTCTTGATGTTCCTCCTGCCTTTGAATAAGAGGGTGCGGTTAGGTTCCTTTTCCAATCCTCGCCGAACGCTTCGTTGGCTTGAACTGTGCAGATATGTTCCTCTGTGTCGAATACCGGCTTGTGATTCGACATCAACTGTTCGTGGCTCCACAATGCAAGCTCCTCGATCAAGTAGCCCATCCTTGATCAAGCAGCCGTTTCCAAACGGCTATTCTATCAGGAGGTATGCTGCAAGACATTTGAGTGCTCGCACAATTCCATCATCTGCTGCACGTAGGAGCTATGTTACGAGAGGGTTGAGCACTTCCACAATTCCATCTCCCAATTCCATCTCCTCGAACAACTGTCTGCGCGGCTCACACGCCGTAAACCCGATGCCAACTCGAAGGATGCACAGTGGTGTAATCGCGAGCATTGCCCTGCTACAGTACTCTACAAAGTACACATTGGCGGCCGTGACATCGGCTGAAGACTTACAGAGCAACCAGTATATATGTTCGACTTGCTAATGATAAATGAATGGTGACTTATGCATCTGGAGATTCAAGAATGAGCACTCTCCTTCCTCGGAAATAATCCTCACCGTCGTGTTAGCTTCCGCCTTGCGCAAGTCATTCATTCGCAATTGCTCTGGCCTCATCGTGGGTCATGTAGAGGTGTATGTTGCAGGAAATCACACACCCATCATATCCCTTCTTCAACGCTTTTTCCATTTCCGCTGCATCTGCGTTACACAAAGATCGTCATGGATAGGCATTCAATAAATACTACTAGTAGTTTACAGGCATGACGAATCAAAGTACTGCGCAGAAGTTCGTGCCAACGAAAACGTGGCGCACGTCACACCGTGCAAGCGTACTGCGTCTGACAAAGTCATGCGTAGCCCCCCGGTCGAAAACATGTATGCCTTACAGCAGATTGACCAAAAACCGATAGTGGTCATCAATACCTCGTTCACCTTCCATATAGAACCAATACGTTGTGGAGATATTGCGGCGTTGTCGGCGGTCTAGCAGAATTTGAACGAAACCTTAGAGACAGCCCGGCGCGTGGGGTAGTTGTTGTTGGCCTCGATGCTCGTCGACTAATGACCGGTCTAGTCCACTGTACTCTACGTATTTTTCCTCGCTGCTCCTCGACCGAACGGTTCACGATTCATCACGAGAGACAACCTATTGTTTCCTCGTTTTCCCTTTTTGCTCCTCCACCGACAACCACGTACTCACGGTAGTGAAGTGCACCTCACGCAACTTTTAAGGTTGCTCCTCGATCGATCAGAGTATATTTGAGGGACGTACAAACGCTTGCCTCACCACAATTCCCCTTCGTTTTCTCCTCGACCGATCAGAGTGTATCTACGGACGTACCAAATGTTTTCTTCGCTATTTCCCCTCGACGCTCCTCGATCGATCAGAGTGCATCTAAAGATAGATGTACCCAATGTTTTTCTAGTTATTGCCCTCATCATTCCGCGGATACTTCACGATTGCCTCCCGTATCCTCCGCGGATAACTGTGCATATAGTAACAAAAAACTGGAAATGTGTTTCCTCTCTGCTCCTCGACCATTTAGTGTGTGCTGAAGGATAATCCATGTCTGACTGGTGGCTCCCCGACCGATCAGTGTATGTTTACAAACACACCTAATGTTTGTCGCGCTATTTCTCTCGATGCTCCTCGACCGATCAGAGTGCAGCTACAGATAGATGTACCCAATGCTTGGCTTGGTATTCCCCTCACTGCTCCTCAACGGATCAGTTCGTTTATACGGATACTCCATGGTGGCCTCCCTGCTCCTCCAGCGATAACTGCTGTGCAAAATAGTAAAACAGATTTCGAAATATTTTTCCTCAATGCTCCTCGATCATTCCGTGTGCGCCGAGAGATAATCCATGTCCAACTCGTAGCTCCTCGGAACTCGCCTCCGTCCCCGAGCTCCCCGCCTCGTTCAAGCGACAGGCCCGATTCCTCGCAGTACACGGCATTCAGCATGGCGAACCGATGTTGACCTTGGGCCGTTATCATGTGCGGTCGGTGCTTTTCGAATTCGGGATCGATCTTTCCGAGCTTTTCGAGCCCGACGTCCTGCCCCAAATCAGATCGGCCGGCAAGAACAACGTTGTCCGGATTAGGAAACACGATATTCTTAGTTTGATCGAACAAGTCCTTTGGAAGAACAACACTTAAACATCTTTGCCGTGCTTCACAATGGTCGGAGGCGTTTCGGAAAGTTGGTATGGGTTTCGGGGTAGCAACGTTGACGGTAGGGTAACCCGAGCACGATGTTCATCGGTGAATGTGTCGCCTTCATTCTCAACGTTCTGGTAAAATTGAGCTCCGTCCGACACCAAGTAAATTATCCCCAAATACCCAACAGGGATTCCAACGCGGCCAGAAACTACTACTGCCGGCTTCATGGACAATCTTCGCTTCTACAAGGCTATGGCAGCAGCTCCAAAGCACGTACCCACGTGGATGCCGGCAATGCGATGTCCCATGACATATCGAGATCGGACCCCCGGACGCTCTTTATCCGCCCACATGTGTCGGTCTTGCCCTGTACAATTCAAGAGCGCAGGAACGTGTGGTGTTGAGGGAGGCTGCGGGAAAATAACAAACATTCCCTAGAAAAAAAATAGATGGACAGGTTTATTAGGCGGACGGGTTTTCGACGGTATTGCCATTTGGCGAACTTCGTTTTGGCGATAGGCGTTAATGCGTTTTTCGGCGGTTACGACTTTGGCGGAGGCGAGAATTCCACATTTGGGCGGTAAACGTTCGGCGGTGTTAGGAAACGGCGGTATTGTTTTGACGATAGGCGTTAATGCGTTTTTCGGCGGTAACGACTTTTGCAGAGGCGGTAAAACAGAAATTGGGCGGGAATTTTTCGGCTGTGACACCATACCGCGCCTATACTCTTGGCGGTAGGCGGTAGCGCGTTTTGTGGCGGTAACGAGATTGGCGCAGGCGGTTAAACACAAAACAAATGGCGGTAAAACAGTGGATTACCGGGACCGCCCGCCTCGGCGGTAATTCGCGCCACATCTCCCTGGACGAACAATCGCTCACGGGATGGAAGGGATGCATAGCTGGTCGAGGATTTGACATGGCAACGACCGCGTCTGACATCATCTGCCACAGCTGCTAGGAGCCGGGGCACATCAGGAGGAACTGCCCCAAGATCAAGATCAGGGCGAAGAAGAATACGAAGCCCGCCGGAGCTACCAGGTGGTGCTCCAAGCACAACGCTATGTCTCACTCGGACGAGGAATGCTACCAACAAGGAGGAAAGCGCCCGGAAGACACCACTCAAGTAAAGCATTCACCGCGTGCTCCAACTGCCGTCACTGCTCGTCGGCGTCCAACAAGAACGACGCAACTTCGCCGCGAGCTCCACCGGGGTAGGACTGCTGGTAGACACGGGAGCATCGGAGACCATGTTTGACAATCGCCTCATCCCCGACGGAAACGTTCACGAATACACCCAGCGAAACTCTCCAAAGATCGTCGACGTGGCCGGAGAAAGCCAACTCACAGGCACGGCCACAGGCATCCTACACTGCACCGTCAAGGACAATCGAGGACAGAGATCGCGCGTGCGGATTCAGGGACTCGTCGTTCCGGGGCTTGGTCGCAAAATGGTTTCGCCCGCCTTCCCCCCCCCCGGTGTTTGCCATCGGGGTTGGGTTTTCGTCGCTTGGCAACGACGTTGTAAAACAAGCCGCCCCCCCCGGTGTTTGCCATCGGGATTGGGTTTTCGTCGCTTGGCAACGACGTTGTAAAACAAGCCAATTCACTTCGTGAACTCGGCAACCAGGTTACCGTTTGTTTTTGTTACCTCCGTTTTTTTTTTGGCGGTAACCATAATGGTAGTCGAGTAGATCATGTTGTGCGGGGTGGAGAACCCTCGCTCCGCGCAAGGGGGATGATCGCACCACCTTGTGTTGAAATGGTCAAGCACCCTCGAGTCAGTTTCACA